TTTACTTGGCGCCCTTCTTGACAGCAAAACGTCCAAGCGGTGGGTACTCAGAGAAAACAAGAAGTTTGACTTTTTGTTACTACTAAAAGATGACGCATAAGTCCGTAACTGGACATAAAACACAACGAACTCAACGAGATTCAGTTATCAACAGAGAACATGGTAGCAGAAACAGCGTAAAGAGCCTTCTTCACAGATTCAACCTCACCAGATATCTACTTGATCAAAAGACACAAAATATATAAATAACAAAAAAAGCAGTGAATGTTAGAATTCAGACACACTAACCAGAACTATAGTGTCAAACTCCAAAGCACAAACATGTGAAGGATTTGAGACATCTTTAGAATCAACACTAACTCAAGCTCGAGTTCTACTTCTTATCCCCTTAATGGTCCCACCAGCTTTACCAATCAGACCAGAAGCTTGACCCTTTATGATACAGACCTTGAGATGGATGCAAAATGTCGATAAGATGATGGGGCACCTCCTGTATGATATAAACATTACATACGTCAAGTTCAAAGGTATACACTTTCATCCCAAACACCTTGTGGTCATTCAAACAAAGCAAGAACCTTTTTTTTAATAACACCAAAGTTGTGGAAATGATCAAACAGCTAAGAAGAAGAAAGAAGACAAGTTCAAATTCAGCATTTCAGATACAAATCTTTGAGCTGAAAGTATCAGTCTTGCCCTCTTGGGCTAAGCAAAGTCGTCAACTTTAACCTATCAAATGACCTAAACAAGGGTTTCAAATGCAGAGTCCTAGACACTTAAGCTTAACCAGAGAGTACACAAGTAAAAGATAAAAGGACAGCAGTGAACCTGAACAGAGTCAGCACTGATGATTTCGCCGTTGGCTAGCTCCAGGGCGAGTCTGCTTTTACCTGTGCCGGTGGGACCAGAAATCACAATCGCCTTCTCCTTTTCTGAGTTTGTTCGAGGAGATGGGAGGAACCGAGAAGAAGGGAGAGGAAGAGGAGACGGAGAGATTGAGCTTGGAGGAGAGAGAAATAAAGGGTTCTTACCGATTCCAAAAGTCCCAGTTTAAACCCCGCTTCTCTGAACTTTTTTCTTTTTCATTTATTTTTTTCTCTCTTTTTTCCCATGGAGGTGGTTTTAGAGCTGATTTGGTTTAGAATATAAGATAAATTTGGAATAAATTAAGATTTCAACTAATTGTTTTTTCTCTTTCTCGATTTGTATTTGTATTTCTAATATGGTTTTATGTCATTTTTATTAAAACTTTATGTATATTTTTGTTTTAAATCATTTTACTTTAAAAAATTAAATTAAAAACTTCTATGAGATTCTATCATTGGAGGTCAAAAACTAATTACCATTAACTAAGGTTCTTAAGCTTTCAATCAACTCTTTTACTCTTAAATTAAGTTAAAAATCCCATAAGGAGTTCCCATGGATGGAAGTACTCTAAAAACGTCATATTAGGCTTTTTAGTTCTCTAACGGGTCTGTTTGTAACTTTTGTCACGCTAACTATTTTTTTTAATGTTAATTTTCTTTTATTCAAATTCTAATTAAAAGACAATAACCAAAAAGATCAGATGACCGATTTTCTACCGCTAGGCGGCTAGGCGGTCATCTAGCTGGTCTAGGCGGATTAAAATTGGACGACCGATTTTCTACGACGATTTGGTATAAATCAGAATCGAAGAGGGTCACCTAGCGTCTAGACGGCTAGGCGGTAAATTTTTAGAACAGAACTCTTTTGATATCTTCTTTCTCTTTTTCTCTAAAATCCCTTTTCTTTGCAAGATTTGATGCCACACTGAACTTAAAACGTTTCTTGTAAATCATGCAGAAACATGTTTAGTGAATCTGGTAAACTCGGGATAGAATACCAAAGACTATATACAGTAGAACCTCTATAAATTAATACTCGACAAATTAATAATTTCTTTAAACTAATAAATTTTGCCGGTCCCAACTTGGGCTGGTTCAAAATTTGGCACAAATCGATAAAATAATAAGATAATAATTTTTTTTAGAAAGTTCTATGTAAATATATAGTCCCATAAAAATTGTAAATTAATAATTTATATTTATACATATTTTATATAAGTAAGAAGTTATTATTATATTGTTTGTTTTATATTTACAATGGAATTATCTTTATATTTTTTTGACATTTTATATATTGTTGATGATGTTTAGTAATATTTTATCTAAAATCATTTTTAAATTCTATGAAATATATATTACTAGGGTGTGTCCGTGCTACGCACAAGTTATTTGATATTTGTGTTATGTTCATTCGATTTTTTGATTTTAAGATACCGTACGTGTACTTGAAATTTATCAAAAAAAAAATTGTAAAAACCGAACTTAACAAAGCCGTTCCAATCCAGACCATAGATGAATTTCACATTCCTAAAGTTGAAAGTTGAAGTAGTTTGCAATTTTAGTGATATTAATTAATGTGTAATAATATTTCATTTAGGTATATATACGTCCAATATACACATAATATTTGGTAAACACGACTATAATTTATAGATAATAATTGTACCCCTGGAGTTGTTCAAAAAAAAAGAAAAAAATTGTACCCCTAATTTACAGTTGTGGCCACCTTTACAATAACTAGAGACTTGTCCCGGGCTACGCCTGGGTTTTTCCAATTATAAATTTGATTAAAATTATTAATACTTATATTTAAGTGAGTAATAATATATTTTGTCTATATTTAAAAAATATATATAAAACAAATTTAAAAATTTGAAATGTTGTTTTGTTATAAAGTACATTTAGGGTAATAAGCACTCACCAACATGAATAAAAATTAGAATAAATTGTACTAATGATTTAATTGTTCTTTTATTTCCACAACTATTTTAATGTTTGTCTCTTTTTATCTTTATGTAAAATTCTTCACTTTATATTAAAATGATATATAGGTATTAAAAAGATATTATAAAATATTTTATTTTGAAATTTTATTAAACCAAAGTTTATTTAGCCAATTTTTTAAAAAGTTGGATCTAATTATTATATTTATTAAATCTTTAATAAAAGTATCCTTAAATGCTTGTTGATAAAATGTAATGAATTTTCAGTCATTCTGAAGATGAATTTAATATTTTTTTTTTGTAATGTTGCTCTTACTAAAACTGAGACAGCCAAATCTATCCAAAATTGTAAACTTTTAATTTATGAGAATAATTAAAAACCATAACAAAATGAATTTGCTTAACTTTTGGTTTACAAACAAACCAATCTTAACTATATGTCACTCCTAAAGAAAAATAAGAAAAGCCACCTCCAACTCTTCCAAAGCAAAGTTACTCATATATATATATAATTTTATTTTCATTTTGACATTTTTAGTAAAATCATTTAGATTTTTAGTAATAATCATTAATAGAGCAAATTATTTCAATCACCATTATTAATAATATTAAATCTCTAGAAACGAAAAAACAGAACATACATGTAACACATCACAAGTAGACAAAAAAATAACATTTTTGGTATGTAGACCAAAAATCAATTATTAAAGATCCTACGCAAATTCAGATACAAAGTTCATATAAGACCAAGAAGCTAATCACAAGATCAACGGACAGAGGATTCATGTACTTTTGGTGAGTGATCTTATCCAGCTGGACAGTTGAGAAAACATTATTCTCTAGCAACCTTTCCAAGAGTATCTCAACAAACTGAACCTCAGATAGATTTAGAGCTCCTCCCTTTGGAGTCCCACCAGCTACATTAACACCATAGCCAGAGTGGCTTATTTGTCTGTTCAACCGGGGTACTCCATTAAACACATATAATATCCATTATCCAAGATTCGACCAGACACCTTCTCAATTTTTCGATTAAACTCTCTTGTCGGCACCAAAGAGGTTTCCTTCCAAGTCTGTCACATAGCAACATAACCCAACAATAAATATAGTTTTTGAATCTCAGATGACCTTTAGATATACTGCAAACACGAAGCATAAAAAGGTCATGCTTAGCTTTGTATTTGATGGTTTTTGTCAATGATTGAAATCCCAAAAGCAAGAGTCTTTCATTTTCTTTATGCCACAACCTTGCATAGCTGGCTCCCTACAAAACAACAACGTCAACAGTTATATAAATTAACACAAACAGTAAAATTTAAATTGATCTCTCTACACACCTAAATCCGACAGAGTTTCAAAAAATCCCTAAAAGCTTTGACAATCTCCAGAGATATGACTTTAGCACGCTCCTGCAAGTGATCCAAAGCAGAAACAAAAATTACAAATCTTTAGTAAACATCTTAAGTTACAACTATAGATAAAGCATCATTTTGACCTGTTGATGCTCGTATACTTTGGAGGAACTTCATATCGGTTTTCATCAGCTTGTAATTTCAATTACTATTTCTCAAAAATCTTGTGACACTGATATACTGCTGAAAGTATAGCTTGTATGGTTCTTCACACTTCTTAACTTATATTCAAGAAGAGTTAACCAATACCCAAACATCCCTTGAAAAACCACGATTATTGCACCATAGCGAGCACCTGAATTCAACGAAAGTTAAGCACCATGAGGAGCTGGACCCCATTCCATACAATCATTTCAGTGTTCCATGTGTCGATGCATCCCCAGTAACTGAAACCTATAATGCAATTTATTAGACAACCCATCTTGCTTGCTAATGATAAGTGTGATAGTCTTCCCTGTGTAAGAAACTGGGATACATACCCTGAAGCAAGTTGGAATCACATGAGACTAACAACTAATATAAGAAGATGACAGGAGCGAGTTGGAATCAGTTACGATTTAGCTGACGCGTCCACGTCACTCATTTGAAAGAAAAATTCAATTAGATTTCAACTTTATCTACTCACCTAAGCAAACTGTCAATTTCAATTTGAAAAAAAAAAACAAAACTGGCGATATAATCCTAAATTACTTCATGAACCTGAAGATACGAAGCAACTGTTGAAACTCAGAGTCACCATGGAAAAGAACTTGCCTCCAAATCATCTCAGCTGCATGTAAGAATAACCAATAACGTAAATAACTCTTCCATAGGTCCGAGATGCCTGAGATTAATAAAAAAAAAAAAAAGTGAATAGTAGATCAAAGTTACACAACATGTCAAAGTAAGTGGTGGGGTAGACTAACCAAAGATGCATCCAACAGACCACATGTCAACACCAGTGGAGTAATAAGTCTCTCCAAGAAGAACCTCATGAGCACTATACGATAAAGTAACAATATCATGAGTATAAGACTTCAAAGGGACAATGAAAGCACGACCAAGACCCAAATCAGCAATCATTAAAATCCCTTTCTCCTTATCCAGCAAAAGGTTATGCGGTTTGAGATCACGGTGAAGCACAACGTGGCCATGACAATGAGCCACACCTTTCCAAACGCACCCATCTTGGAGTTCCTTTGCCACCATCAGCTTCCTTGAGAGATTTCTCTATCTTTTCAGCTTGAGTCTCCATCACGAAAGTAACTCGCGATGCATGTCTTCTGTCTCATGCCTCGTGAACAGCTGTTTAAGAATCACCGCCTTGTTAAGAATCTCCGTGCACGTCTTCATGAAGAAGAAACTCAGCAACCCCGCGGAGATGTTAAGCGAAGGGATGATCCCGGTCGTTAGATTCAGATTCATCACCACGAAGGTGAAGAGAATCGAGACGATGAAACTCACGATCATCGCTCTAACGTGAGCTGATTCTGCGAAAGGAGAGGATTCGGTGAGGATGAGAGGCGAGGAGAGGAAGATTGACCTAATCTGGAAATAGAACGGCCCAAAAAATTGTAACAGGCCCAAAAATTAAAGCCCAACCGACGAATACAGATGGCAGTGACGTGGCACAATAACAGGATCCTATTGGTATATTAAAAAATACACGTGGATAGGCTGAAAGGCTCTTATTTGCGGCTTTTAATTATAGTAGATGTTAGGATACTTCGCATCTATTAATGTTATATTCCCGTATGTAATGTTTCTGGGGAACCCTTTGCCTCCCTAAAAAATAATGTAAGATCAAAAATGCTAAATATAAAATTTATTCAGAATATGTATATATGTAAATCTAATTATGTACAAAAGCTGACTGCCCAAGTCTTGATTCTTGCCCCATTCTCAGTTCCATTGAAGCTGCAGTGTCTTACTTGCACGATCTTAACCGTTTCATTTAGCCCACCTCTGCCCAAACTTCCAGTACTGCAGTTTTCTCAGAGATGGAATACATTTTTAACATTTAATATTTTTTTTCTAAAACAACTCAACCCTAAGAAAAACCTTTGCAATTAAACGAAAATATGTTTCTGTAAGAAATATAAAAATGCATTAGTGTGCGAAATTATAATAATCAATCTAACATATGATTAATACATTAAAGCCAAGCCAAAATCTTAATGTGGTCTGCCATTGTGTTAGTATCTTCTATTTTTCAGAAATATAAAAATGCATTAGTGTGCACTTTCTTTTTGATCTTTGTCTTCTGAATGAGATATACCTAGATGAATGGAGTGTTGTTGCGGAAGCTCACTTCACCTAAAACCCAGTGATGTTGCATCTTTATTGGTCAGTTTTAAATATATGTGTCGAAGACGATACCTGAGAAGCAGTGCGTTAAGTGGGAACGGTTTTTCAAACAAGTAGAAGAAACAATGATGACAACCAAACCTGATCTCAGCCTACAACTTTTTTAAGAAATAAGTTTCCTTCATAAGCGTAAGCTAAATTCTTACAACATATACCATACCAAGAATTCTCTAACAAACGCTATACTTACCTTAAATCTAGTTGCACTACATGGTATTTGGATTTTGAACTGGACATGATAAAAACGGTCCCCTGGATTGGGAATGTGATGACTTTTACAAACAGGTGCATAATAAAATTATATTCTTGAGCAATATACAGTACAAATGTTTTAAATATATAAGCTTACCTTCCTATCTACCAGTCTTTTTTCGGTAAAATGTTAAGATTATTATACCAAGTTTTTAAATTTTCTACAGAAGTACACAGTTGACAAGTAGCAGAAGTCAATAATTTAAACTAAACAGAGCAACCTATGCAAAAGAGAAAAAACCCAGAGAAGGAGCGGAGCTAACGTAGCGGTAATGGACCAAAGAACAGATATGAGCGGACTGAGCTCCCTGCTTCCGCTAGCACCGGAGAGAAAGGCGCCCTCATAACTTGAAGCACCGGGAGGCCTACAGTTTCCGAGAAACCCAGATCATCAACACCTATTTACCAGTACTGGAGTGTCTTATACGCTATTCTCGAGGATTGAAGGTTCGGCGGAAATTAAACTCAGTAGCATGAATGAGAATTTGGATTCCTGACTCAGCCCTCAACTATTTTTAGGTTTTGAGTTTTTGAAGTCGGTAGAGGGTAAATTTCAAGAGAATTAGAGATGAAGAATCGCCTTACAGAGTTTGAGCAATGAATCTTTAGACGAAGGAGGTGGGTCAAGCTTCAATCCAAACTTATCAACTTCTCCTCCGGCTTTTAAGTCATGACGGGTGAAACACAGAATTTTAACCGGCGATAACTTTCCACCATACATGAAGATGGAGAAGAAGAAAAGGGGTTTCTTTCATATTCTTGTTGGTTTTATTTGTTGTTCAGAGAGGTGGAGAGTTATAGGTCGGAGTAATTATCCAAATTTCTACTAATTTTAGATAGATATATTAAGCGCCGGGTGTGTATTTCAAATAATTTTGGATTAGTATTATGTACATAGGATATGTATTCTGAACATAATAGATCAATGAAAAAATGAATTTCATTTTCTACTTTGTAGAATATCAATTCTATTCTACTTTATGTAGAACATCATTTAAAATTATCATTCACACAGTTTTATAACTTGAAAAAACTACCACTAAACCGATATAAGTATTTCATTAATAGTTACTATTTTCCAATTTTTTCTGTTTGTAAATCTATTTATTTAATTTATTTTTTAAAATACTAAAATATATTATACGTAAAAATGATACAAAATAGAAATTAGTCTAATAGGACATATTTACCATTTTTTGGTAAAAAAACAATTTTACCAATATAAAAAGGATCTAAACATAGAAGATCTTTAGAGTATATAACATGGTTGAAAACATCACAAGATAAAGTATTGCATATATTACATCATCAGCTTATTTGTAAAAAATTTATCTGGTTACATAACATCAACTACTAAAGGATGTTAATTATTGGTAGATATCTCACAATCCTGATTTTCCACCTTGAAACCATGGATTTTTTCTATGGTTTTAAAACCTTTCCCACGATCTCTTTAAGAGGCTCCAACTCTACTTCATCAATCAACTGATACTCCTGCATGTTGCGAAACAACAAACTCACGTCATCGTTTTTGACATCAACTATTATAACATTCAACATGTTCAAATTCAAGGGAAGATTCATCAATTCACAGATATGAAGACAACAAGATGTTTGAAGCAAGTGTTGAGATGAAGTTCTTCCTTGAGATTCAAAATTTCTTGAAAATGAGAATGATAGATATGTGCATAAACCCTAAACAACCTCTTCAAAATCACCTTCACCAAGTCCTTAAAGTTTGGTGGGAATGATACTTCTGAATAAGGATGAGAAATACGCGTGTTACAAATCAAAAGCAATTTGATTAGATACGTTTAAAAACTATAAACAAGCTTGGCGGCTACCAGGTTTTTGGGGAAAAATGGTTTTATTATCGATCTGAGTTTCAATCCAGTCCATGAGATAGTTAACGTATTCAGGAACAGAAACCACTATTGGCTTCTTTATAGGAATCCCATCTGTCCATCTATACTCATATCTGCAACCAAAAAGAAAAGAAGAAAGTGACCAAAGTTTTATGTATCAACTTGATGGATAAGACTCATGGATGAAGAGTGAGTTACAAGGGTCCAGCGTTCATGATAGGACAAGTGATGGTTGTTCAGAACTCTTTAAAAAAATTCTATGGCTAAAACAAACCAAACATAAAACGTTAAAAAAAATTCAGATAATAAATAAATCAAGTTGGGATTATAAGAATGACTTGTGTCTTAACTGTGAATGGCCAACCACTTGTTAATGTCTTCTCCATAGGGTAGTTTCACGACTTCTCTGAGGTTGCCACTCACCAAGTTTTACATGATGTAATGCTGGGACAAGAAGCAACAATGCCACCATGGATTCAACATGCTAAGTCAATGACTGACCTAATGATCGCTTGAGCCACCACTTCTTCAGTCTTTGTACCAAATATACATCTAAGTGAGGTCTTGTCTGAATAATTTGGGTGACTTTGCAGAAAGAAAAGGCACACCAACAAATCAAAGAGGATAGAAACCTGTCCAAAATGGAGGGACACCACAAAGAAGCATATGGAAGATGACTCCATGGCTAAGACATCAATCTCAGGTCCATAGTTTCGTCGTAGGACCTCTTGTGCCATGTAATAAGGACTTCCAACAATCTCATTAAACCGCTCACCTGTTACAGTTTATCAAAAGTAAAGGTAAAGCAAAGATACACTAAATCTTCTCATTGATACTCATCAGTACATGGTTTAAAGAAGACAGATAATCCAAAATCAATAGCCTTAAGAGCTGATGTCTCTTTCTTATTTGCAAAAAGAAAGTTCTCTGGTTTAAGATTTCTATCCATCACTCCCTGCTTATGGCATACCTGCAAAGGACACACAAAGGGTGTGAGTGTGAGCAGAATACACAGACACTGTAAACATAGTAAGCAACCTGAACAACTTCAACAATAGTCTTCAAAACTGCAGCATCAGCCTTCTCAGTGTAATGTTCTCTAACGACAATCCGATCAAACGATTCCCCTCCTTCACAAAACTCCATAACTATATAGACCGCATCATCTAGTAGTTTTGAGGGTGTATCCAAGACATGAATCTCACATGATCCCGAGGCCAGTATCTGTAATGCTGGAACTACAACCAACAAACAAACAAACAAAAACATGTCTCAACCTACATTCTTCATGTCAATAAACCACAAGAGCTGTAGATAGGATATACTGAGCTAGACCAAAACATACCCACTCAGATCGAGCAGTTCAAGGTTTGTGTAAATTGAGGAAATGGCGGCTACAGACGCATCAGTGATATCGATTCCAAGAATTAGCGAGAGCATTCTCAACCACCTGTAAGGAAACTGACATCAATCTTAAGAAACAACTGTTCTCTCAATGGAGCACTGGAGTAAGAGTCCCAGAGAAGAAAAATGTGATTTTTACAAACAAAACCAATACTGGAAACTAAGAGATTTTAGACAAACCTAAAATTCACAGCAATAAGAGCAAGTTTAATACCTAGATTCACGAACAGTGATGATCCAAATCTTAGTTCGTCAATAATACGATTTCGAACTACCAAAACGGATCTAAACTATAACAGAAAAACTTTCAGATATCTTCTCGATTCTATGGAAAAAGTATAATCCAAACAAATCAATGGATCCTAGGATTCTCAGAACTGCGACAAAGAATTGAATCGAGAAGAGAAGACTCACAACGTATCGGAATCTGAGTGACAAAAGATTCGGATTGATTTCACGAATCGGCTTGCTCGAGCTTCAATGGAATCCGAGAGAATCGAAGAGAGAAGGAGATGATTCTTAGCCATGGAATCCAGGGCTCTCGAAGAGAGAAGAAGATGGTAGAGAGACAGCACCCCAACAAAAGAGGCTATAGGTATTTTTTTAAAAAAAAATTATAGAAAAAATCAACCAATGAAATAAAAAGGATTTTCGTGAGGAACTCTGTATGAGCGACACATGTCAAAAATTCACTAAAGTGACTTCTCTTTTAATATATAAGGGGATTCTATGGGATCCTTATTGTATTCTTTTGATTCCTTCTAATTCCAAACCCCACATTTTAATCAAAGAAAACAATTACTTTGCTAGATGTAAAAAACCAGATTATATCATTTCATACTATTCGAACTTTCAGAAAAAAATATGAAACTAGGTTTTTTCCCGCACATGCGGGCTTAATTATCTTTAAGTCAATTTTTTTAAAAAACCATCAAAATAAATAAATATTTGCATCCAAAAATTCAACCTAAAATATTGTTTTTTTACATGATAAAGTTATTCACAAATTTTTAAAAATAATTTTTTTCCCCTTAAAACTTTGAAAAATCTTAAGTCTATTTCATTTTTTATTAACTGATAAAAAAATATAGAAATCTATCTTTCAATTTGAAAAATTGAATCAATAAATATACATTTAAAAATTGATCTTTCAGAAAGAATAATATTAGTTTGGATAATAATACAATATAATTGAATTTATTTTTTTCAACACATATTTTCTTTCCTTTTGAATGATCTTTTATTTTATTATGATTAATTCATATTTAAGGTTTAAATATAAAATATTAAAATAAATTTAATTCAACGTGTGAGTTCAGAGGCAAAAACTAACTTCACAAATATATATATATATATATATATATATATCATTATATTATTATATTCTTTTAATTTAAAAATAATTACGTATTATAAATTTTTCAATTTTCTCTTTTCAATTATATACAATTAAAACTTTACTTTATGAATATTTATTTTTGTGTTTTCTGTTTTTGAATTTTTTACTAAAATATATTTTTGGATAACGACACAATATATATATGTTTATCTTTTTTTTTAAATATATATTTATATTATGAATAATTCTTATTATTATTATTAATATAAATCATTTATCTAATCAAACAGATATTAAATTTGCTTTTTTATGTTTGGCTGATTTATATATTTTATTCATTAAGGGTATAAACGATATTAACCACTCTAACTTCACTACAAGAAAACTCGTCCATTACTAGGACGGGTTTTCCTCGTTATTTCCTAGTAAATGGCCTTTTACTAGGAAATAATTACTAGGAAATAACGAGGAAACGTGTTTCCTCGAAACACGTTCATCGTAAAGCCATTTTCCTCGTAAGGTCATAGCGAATTTACGAGGAAATGTTTCCTCGTAAAGGCGTGGTTATATTTTCCTCGTAAGGTCCTCGTACGCTTTCCTCGTAAGCTCGTAGTAAGTTTTTCCTCGTAAGATCGTAGTAATAGATTACGAGGAAATTACTAGAACTAGTTACGAGGACATTACTTGGAATCCTTTACGGAATTTTGCTTCAAAATGTTTTTTTCCTATTAAAAAAAATAATTATAAATAATTATTTTATTTTTTAAAAATTAAAAAAAATCAAATTATAAATAAAAAATAAAAAACAAAATATTTTATAGATAACTAAATAATATACAAAAAATTTTTGAATTCATAATATACAATTAAAAATAAAAAAACTACGGATGCTGGTCGTGAAATTTCTGAACGAACTAGTCGTCGTCCTGGCTCGGCAAATCCTCTCCATAGTTGGTTGCCGGCTGTGACTGTGATGGTGGATGCTGTTGGGTTGGAATCCCTCCACGTTCCCGTCTCTGACGCAACATCTCCTGCACATGCGGGTTTCCAACCGCCATAATGTCGAGGACATCAGCGAGAGAAGTCACATGCTCGGTGAGCGAAGTCACATGAGACTGTGTCGCCTGCAACTCCGAGCGCAGCTGAGCATTGACATCGTGCTGCTCCTGATGATAAGACGATGTCGCTGCAGGGACATCGTTAACCGAGCCAATCCCGATGATACACCCCTTTTTCCTAGGGGCGACCTGGAAATAAAAATATTAATAACATTAAGAATTTTTTTTTAAAAATATTAAAAATTAATAGTAAAAAAAATTATTTACGTCCTCGTAAATCTTATCCACGTCAACAGTGGATAATATGACTGGAGTCCCAGTCTGCTGAGTCAGCTGGGTCTGGCGTTCGTCAACTCGGGCAACAAGCTCGTTGTAGATCCGCTCGGAAGCAGGATATACAAACTGCCCAGCCTTGTTCCGGTGGGTCCTCTCGTAAAAGTCTTTCAGAGATGGAAGAACTCCTGTCTCCTTAGCCTAAAATTAATTTATAAAATTAAATATTAATTTGGAATATTCAAATAAAATAAAAATTAAATTGTTATAAAAAATCATCTTACCATGTCTAGACGAACTCCCCCGTGAGGTTTTCGACCCGTGGTGTGAAACACCTTCGTGTATCCATGCTCGTCTTTGGTCATGCGGTTCCCGGAGTTTGTGTTGGAGGTTCTGACCGAGTCCGGCAACCCCCAATAGCTGATGAGGCCATTCCACACCGTGGTTGTGAGGCAATCGGGTTTCCCGGCCTCGTAACCATCCACCTGATTTAAAAAAAAATAGAATTAAAGTCAATATATATATATAATATTTTAAAAACTATATATATATTATAATTTATAAATCTATACCTCATAGTCGCCCTTCCAGTTGTAGACCATGTCGAGCAATCGTGCTCTTAACTTGGCCTCAAACTCCTTCTTCACTCGCTGGTGAATCCGAATAGACAAACGATACTTTTGCTGTAACCAGAAAAAATAAAATACGGATTAGTTCAATAATATTAATAATTTTAAATAATTAAAAATAAATTAACGAATTAAACTTACAGCGAACGATTTGAACCACGTCTTTTTTTTGTGTGGCTCGCCGTCATCTTCCAGTTTGGAGCTGGATCGGGAAAGTATCCCTTGATACAGTCTGTGACGCTAGATCCGACACAATTTTCAAGACCAAACCTAGAAAGACACAAATAAATCATTAATTATATTAATTTCTAAATATTTTGTTAATTAAGAAATAAATTAAAAAACTTTTTAAAATTAAAACATACCATAATATGTTTTGGCCGTCCCGTCGGTAAGGATCTAACTCTGCCACCCATTCTCTGTCTGGAAGGGCCAAAATATCCTCCACCGTGTACACCGCAAACGGTGCGTTCGGCGGCACCTGCAAATCGGGATGAACCCCGACCGGTGGAGGAGGAGGAGGAGGAGGAGGAGGAGGTGGTTGCCGGGACGCCGTAGAAGCTCCCTGAGTCTCGGGAATCGAAGATGAACCGGGAGCTGACGAAGATGAACCCGAAGCATCCAGACGCCCAAACATATCTCCGTAGCTTATCCCCTCGAGAGACGACGTCCTCTTACCAGCAGCCTTAGCAAGCTTGTTCTGTCTAGGCATCTATATTTAAAAAAAAAAAATCAAAACATTAATTCCCGTATAATTAAAAAAAACAGTAAATAAAAGTAAACCAACCTAATCTAAATTACCTAAACTAACCACCTAATCTAAATTACCTAAACTAACCACCTAATCTAAATTCCCTAAACTAACCACCTAATCTAAATTCCCTAATCTAATCACCTAACTACGGATTAGAGAGAACCTTTAGAGGATTTAAAGAGAAGGTTACTAGCAAATGAGAAACCGGATTGCTCGAGTATATATAAGGAATTTTGTTTCCTCGTAAAGTCCTAGTAAAATTACGAGGGCTTTACGAGGAAATATCTATGCTCGTGTTTTTATTTCCTCGTAATGGTTGTACTAGGGCTTTACGAGGAAAACCCTTTACGAGGAAATAGCTATGCCCGCGTTTTTTTTCCTTGTAAAGCCCTATTAACACCTTACTAGACCATTACGAGGAAATTGCTATGCCCGTGTTTTCTATTACTAGGGCTTTACGAGGAAAGGGTTTATAAATCCCTAAACTCAAAACCCCAAACCCCAAACCACAACTTCCTTAACTTATAACCTCTTCTACAACCAAACTCCTAACCTCTTCTACACATAAACCCCAAACCCCAAATAAGAATTGATTTTGTGATTAAACAAACTTAAAACATATATAATCCAAATTGATTTTGAGATTAAACAAACTTATAAACATACATAATTCATTCGGATACATTGTCGCAATCTGTTGAAACATCATCATTTTCTAAATACTCGTCGTCTACACCTTTGTCCGTTGAGTGATCAGGAACATCTTCGTATTGACGATTATGCGGATCAATGAGTAGGAACTCATCAATTTTTTCTTCAGTTTCCTCGATCTCATTGGTGTTTTCTTCTTGTAATGGTGGTTCTTCTCCAGCGATTATTCGTTCTCGAGGTGTAACTTTGATAACAGGTAACCAGTTTATTCCCGAGGTAGTAATCCGAGGGTATGGAATGAAGCAAACTTGATCTGCTTGGGAAGCTAATAT